CCTGAGCGGAGAGGACACGGAGGAGACACTCCACCCCAATGAGAACTACGACTCAGGTACACACACACACACACACACACACACACACACACACACACACACACACACACACACACACATTTTCATTACTTAAATTGACTGTATCTATAATGAGCCTTAAACCAGCAGCCTGTTGACAATCCTAAAAGACCGACTTCTTTTTAATATTATCTGCCAGAAACACAAATCTATTTTTGTTTATTTTTAACTCAGTTTTTATTTTTATTTATCTTTACGTCTTATGTAGAACAAAGAAAAGGAGAAAAAAGCACAGACTTACACATGAAAAACACAAACAGTACAGGAATGCATACTAAAAAACAAAACAGGTCAAAGAGTCACATTTTTGCATCATTACATCAAAACAGAAGGAGTCAGGTTTAGGAGTTAGTTCATTCCAGTCTGTACCCGTTTCTCCAGTGCATGGGGTGTCCAAAGTGCGGCTCGAGGGCCATTTGCGGCCCTTGAGGGGATTTTTTGCGGTCCGTGACTTCAAATGAAGAATCAGAAGATTTTGATTAAGATCGGCACATTATCTTCTTTTTCTTTTTCATGTTAACAAGTGCTGAACAATATTCCTAAAATAGAAAATGTTCAGTCACATGTATGTTGTTGTTTTATTAAATCTACAGCTTTTACTATTTTACACATTCTTTTCTAAACTATGAAAAAAAAAACGTATGCAAAGTTTTTGCAAACAAGCGGACTGTTGTTTAACCATTTAATGACCTGAGCTAAATGAACCACGTTACAGGCTTGATTCTGAGAGAAAAACAAATAAAGTAGAACGAAGAAATCAAAATATTTGATTTCCTTTTATTAAAGGGTTTCTTTAAAAATTAAAGAAAAAAAGTTTGGACACCACTGAGCTAGTGCATTCTTTCGTAAGGTCAATCTGCATCCTCATATATCCAAAGATAGTTCCTCTTGTATATCCATACAGTTCCTTTATCAGTGTTTAGACGGTACCGTACATGTAAGTGCGAAGAGTACACATCAAACCAGAACAGAACCCAAATCCATCCGCCAGGACCTCCGATGCACACTAGAGGGGGCTGTTTTAATAAATCAAACATTGTGATGAGGGTTCATCATATTGAAATGAGTTGTACATTTCCTCCAGTAGTTATTCAATTTGTCCATACAAAGATTAAGGGAGACAGTCAGCTTTTCCATGTTACATATTTCTGTCACAATTCTGATCCAGTCGTCTTTTGTTGGGGCCTCTGTAGTTAACCAGAAACACAAGTCAGCTCTCTTTTTATTCACAATATGACCTGCTGATGAGAACACCTGTTCAGAGCCAAACAGACGTTTCCTGGTACATACCGCTAAATATATATGCGAGTCAGCTTGCAGAGTTGCAGGTTTGTAGTGACCCCGTGTCTCTCCACCAATCAGAGGGCTGCTGTCTGCAGAAAGACGAGTCTCCCTCATGTAAGTCTGCGTCTCCTGAATCGTGCCCCCGTTGTATTTGCCACAACATTACTGCCTTCATTTACTGAGGTGGAGAGTGCATGTAATGGTTAAGTAACGCTGAGAGCGCCCTCTGCTGGATCAAACTGGCAACTACTTCAGACGGCCTGATGCACTGACTGAACATTTTGAATTTAAACTTTCTACCTCAGGTTTGAATTAATATTTGAGTTTCAGAATAAAAAATGACAGCCCTAATACAAACACAGACACACACACACTAACTCAAACGGTGTGTGTGTGTTCGATGTAGAGCTGCAGGCGCTGCACGAGATGGTGCAGCAGAAGGTGGTGACGCTGCTCAGCGACTCGGAGAACATTGTCAAACAGTCGCTGATGGAGAACGGCATCACGCGCCTCTGCGTCTTCTTCGGCCGGCAGAAAGCCAACGACGTGCTGCTGTCTCACATGATCACCTTCCTCAACGACAAGAACGACTGGCACCTGAGAGGCGCCTTCTTCGACAGCATCGTGGGTGAGCGAGACGAGTTTCAGAGCTGTGAAATAAACAGATGAAGGGTTAAAGATAAACTTCCTGTGGGGACGATACGTGTTTTCAGCTTTAATAAACTGGTCATTCAGTTTTCTCTCCTTGTTGTTGATGATGTTTGTGATGTCATCGTCCTCTTGTTGCGTTGAAGGCGTGGCGGCGTACGTGGGCTGGCAGAGCTCGTCCATCCTGAAGCCCCTCCTCCAGCAGGGTCTGAGTGACACCGAGGAGTTTGTCATCTACAAAGCTCTTAACTCCCTCACCTGTATGTG